TACCATCGACCAGGATGCACAGCTAGTCACAATGCACATTGAGAAATTATACTTGTGTCTCTACCCATAGTTTCCAATGTAAGGAATGATGTATTTACATCTTATTTTATGCCAAAAAAAAAAGGAACCGCTGGAATTTGTGATGGAGAGCATTTTGTTCCTTTCAGCTTACCTCATTTCATTCTTAATGCTTGCTCTATACAACTTACAAGCTCAGTATGCACAGACTAACACTGAGAGCAAGGAATGGCGGGAGAACAGCGAATTCATGAGAGGAAAGCTAAGGGAGCACCAACTATTGCACTTCCGTCCTGAAGGAAACAGCAGTTGCCAAAATTGGCAGTTTCCTTGAAGGCATTTAGGGACAGCGTGATACTAGTAATTTAACATTGTGAAGAAAAACATGATGCTCACAAAAATGTAAATTACACCCATTTGGGAAATTATTATATATGAAAAGTACTAGTCAAAGGCAAAGACAATTTTCACTGACATTATCTTTAACTGAAATAAAACAGTAGTGATTTAGAAACCCTGGGGGTGTATCATTTTTCACAGCTTTTCCTGAGAGAATAGTACAACATTTTTACTAAATGCTCCAAAGTTATTAGTGTGCAAGGATCCTAATGTGTATCCTAAAGTTTAGAATGTCAACAAAAATGTACAACTAAACTTTTCCAAATAATTTCTATTAGCATGCATGTTGTAGGCATGCCAAGGTTGTCCCTCTGCTAGACAAGCAGGATTTATTAACTATAGTGGCATAGCAGATGACAGAAACTGGCTTTCACACTCCTAGACAGGCAGGATGTATAGTGAACCTGCAGGCAAGAGCAACTGGTGGTCCTTCTTTTGGAGTGCAGGGTCACTTTTTATGTTAAGGCATTGTAATAGAATAGGTTCTATTTGTTGAAACTTCACATCTTTGCTGTTCCCTGACCACTGCAAGTAGTCCACTTGCTGATGAAATACCTGCTCCCACGCTGCACACTGTTGTTTCTCCAACTGGCTCATACGTCACCACAGGATGTACAAACTGGTAGGAGGGACCAAGTAAATGACCCATTTAATTGACTAAATACTTACAGCGGTCAGAGAGCAGCGAAGAGGTGGGATTCCAACAAATGGTAAGTATAGAGCCTCTGCCATAACAGAAATGCTTTTACATACAAAGTAACCCTATGCTGAGAGTCACTTTAACTATAGTTCAACTGCAGAAGACAGCAACTGGTCCGTCTCTCTCCTTGACAGAATGGATAAATTATAGTGGCAGATGAGAAGATAGTGAACTCCTCCTTCTGGGCTTATGTTCAGTGTCCCTTCCCAAGAGCCAGGTGAGCAGATTCTCATCTGCAGCACACAGGGAAGACAAAGAGTTGTATTTATATTTCAATATCCCTCTCCCCACCCATGAAGTAGGGGGAGTGGCATATATACTACACTAATAGTGTGTGGGTGGTTCAGAGTGATGGCCCTCAGAGAGCCATAAAGTTGTGGAGTGTTTGGTAAAACTAAGGCTAGGCTCTTTTAATTCTCAGATAAGCTGATTATTTTAGAAAAAAACAACATTCAGAAACATACTGCCCTTACTTATGCAGATTACTCAAGCCCAAAAAGGAAAGAAATGCTTACTTCCATTGAGATTCATTTCTATCTAGGTCCCACTTAAATAGTTCTTAGAGTATATTGTAATGCTTAAGCTGATGAATAAAATAGATTCATACTTGAATTTGGAATACACATTTAGGCCTAGTTCACAGCGGTGGTAAAAACAGGTGGTGGATCTGCATTTTTTCCTTTTAGACTTGTATAAATGCTGTGGCAAATTTTAAACAGCATGTCCTTTTTGACAGGGTGTGGTGCTTGCCAAACGGAACCATGGCAATCAATGGGTCCATGCCGCATCCATGGGGTAAAGGGTGGTGGTGCAGTATTAGAATACGAAAAAAAAAATGGCATTCAGGCATGCAGTATAGCCTCCTTAACGCCTGGAAGCCAGTGCTATACCACCTTTTGGAAAGGCTGAAGCCTATGTGAACGAGGCTTTAAAGTAGAACTGAAGGCTCCTGTTTGACAGTCTAAACGAGTACCAAATCCATTTACTTTGTGATGCACAAGTCTCAAAAAAAATATTTTTTATTTTTTCCTGATGGAGCCAAATCCTACTTCATTTATGTTTCACTTGATCTCCATCCTAGTCACTGCATCTCATAGTGGGAGGTTTTCAGCAACAGAGGCAGCGCTGTCAACTTACAAAGCACTGGGCAGGACTAAGGGTGGCCAGATGTTGAGTGGCAATTTACAGGCTTCTGAATGAGCAGTGGCAATGCTGATAGACCTATTCCCCTTTCACATTTTTACCACTCTAGTGCAAGCAGGCACAGACTACATGAGCATATCAATTCCGCTCTAATTTTAGGAGCAGGGCAGCATCATTGCCACTGTGATGTACAGGAAGTTGCATTAGGTGGACTTTACTGGCAGGTTCAACAGGTATCAGGGACCTTTGCAGGGGAACCAAGAAAAATCTGTATGTACAGATGCAGATATAAATAAGTGCTTCAGTACAGCTTCAGTGCTTTTTGATACAATTATATTCAGGGGTGTGGTGTCCTGTTCCTTCTGGTGGCTTTCTTTCTTTGTATTTACAGTAAAGATAAACATCTGGATAAATTCGATTTATCTACCAAACAAAAACCTCTGAGTATACCTGATGCCAGAAGCTAAATTTTAATCTATAGTGTTGTCGGTTCTCTGATCTTGTCAATCAAGTGATAATTAATGTTCCTATGCTGTTGGGACTGTCTCCTGTGTGTGAGTGAGTAGACAACAGTGGATACTGCGAATAGAGATAGTACAAATAGAAGGATAAGCAGAAACACTGGGACCACTGCATTGCTATAGAATGTTTGATTGATCATAAAAAGACAATATTGGATATAGAGATGTGGTGACATTATATGGATGCAGTTCCTAGTTAAAAACTGGTGGAAAAAAACAAAAGCGGGTCTCTGCTGTCTCTCTTTTTCTCCTCAGCCACACCTCAGAGTTCTGGAGATCCGTGTAATCCATGTTGAAAGGCAAGATAGTGAACATTCATAAAAGTATAGCCTTCTCTTGAAGAAGCAGATTACCGCAATACACGTTGGCAAAAAGAAAGAAATACCTTCTCATTTAATCCTTGATGTACAAAGAGATAGAGTAAGAAACTCAGAGAAGATGAGATTGAGAAGATGGGGCTACATGATCTATGGTGTAGGTGCAAATTGAGAAATCTATATGAAATTTTATTTTTAAATATGTAAATAAAGTGTATGTGATTTTATGATATATTATTGTACAAGCCAATTCTTGGGGTACCTTAATAGTCTGATCAAATGTGTGGTGCGTACGAGGTTAACTCTGAAATTTTTGAGATATTCAAAACATAGGTAGTTTACGAATTCTTTACTGCATATGTGTTAAAATTCAACATCCTAGAAACGTATGCACTGCAGTTTCATCCTGCCAGGACTATTCCAGCAGCCACAAGACACATTACGAAGTGACGAGTCATGGAGCTGCAACGAGAGCGGTTGTCCTTATTTATCATTTTCTGGAGTGACTGCCGTAGCGGGCCTTCCCGTGTGTTCATCGTCCTGTAGCGAACTAAGGCCCTTTCTAAATTCTCTAAACCATCGGAAAATAGTTGCCCGCAATGGTGCTTCATCCCCAAATGCAGAGTGTAACCTCTGCATACCGTGTTCTTCGTCCAAGCCAACTTGAAAATCACAGAAAATCATACCGCGGTAGTGATCTCGTTGTCAGCTCCACGACTCGTCACTTCGTAATGTGTCTTGTGGCTGCTGGCAGAATTAAACTGGAGTGCATACGTTTCTAAGATTTTGAATTTTAACACATGCGCAGTAAAGAATTAATAAACTGCCTATGTTTTGAATATCTCAAAAAATTCAGAGTTACCCTCGTATTTACATAATACAGTTCTCTCACTTGTTGCATAGTTGACGAAATCCATGAAAAAAAGTCTACGTTCCCTGCCAGCCGACTGCTACATGTGATATTACAGGAAAAAAGGCTTATAAATTGTCAGCGTGCAATATCAATTATGTTAGCTTTAACACTTGCTCCCTAATTAATCCATATTTAGTAAAAAAGTCAAACTTTGCTGGTTAGTTTAAAATTCAACATACCAATTAAATGAACAAAAAGCTTGCACATTTAAGATACCTTGTGTTTATCTGTTGCTGTCCTCATTTTTTCTTTTAACCTTTTAAATTAAGCGTTTTAAAATAAAATGTGCCTCAATTTGTCAAAAAGAAAGAGCTGGTTTGGAAAATTAAAAAACAAGTGCACCATTCATAAAATATTTATTTTACAGTACATCTAACACATGAAACTGTAACATTAAACCTCAGCAATTTATTACAGTGTTAAAATAATTATTTTTATAAGCCAAGATCTAAAAAAAATCCCACTGATAACATTACCATTAGACACTTTTTCCTGACATAATAATTCAAACACATTCAATTTACACTGAAATGAAATTTAAAAAAAAAAAATGTAGCGAGACTTACATGCATTCTACAAAATATAGACATAAATAATCTGAAGTATGAGGAGAGGAGCATACAGGAATGATCTTCATGGAAATAATTACAGAAGTAAAGAGTACCCATCAGCCGCACACAGTGGACACAGTCATTTTGTAAGGTAAACCAATGTTTATTTTAGCAAATTGCCAGAAACTGGTGACGTTAGTGAAGCACGAGGCACTCTGAGGTAAACTTAGTAAATTTCTGCTGTGGCAAATGCAAAAGTTACAATAGAAAAACAACACAAACCCATACTAATTTCCATAAATAACCCCTTCATGCCTTTTCATTCCCTACCGATTCAACTTACAAAATGTCTGCTACTACCGAGCAGTAATTAATATATTTTAGGAACATACAAAAAGGTAGCAACACTGAAAATTCAAGAACTTTATTTTATTTTTGTTTTTTTTAATACTTTCTCTGACAATGCAGCAGCCAAGACAAATAACATGCCTTAAAAAAAGGAGCTTGGATGCCGTTTTGGAACCACGTTTCAGATAGCGTTTTTCTTCTTTAGCATTGGTAAGTAAAGAGCAACGCTTACATCCAACATTGCAGATTAGCACAAACAACCCAAGCAGTTCCTTCACTTCATAGAAAATTCACTGAAATTTGGTAAACTTATCTGAGCATCAATTAGGTATGGGAGAAGGCAGTAGAATGCTAAATGCTATTTAAAAGAGGGCAAGTTTGGCACTTTTATACTGATGTCACCAATGTTAATGTTTCTTGGCATTTCAGGAAGGTTCATGTTCTTTACAGCAGACACAGCCCGAGCCGGAGCACCTGCTAATCCAGCCTGTGTGTGGAATGGAAAAAAAAAAGGGGAATCAGATTAATGTTTGTCTTGACCAGGACTATGACCACAGTTCACTTAATAAAAAGGTCACAAGTTGCTGGGGGTTTCCCAAGTTGCATGGAATGGATTAATAGGAATTAAAGATTAGAAAGAGCACAAAGACAGAAATATGCATGAAATGTCAATCTGAACATTAACATGATTATGAGAGGCCCATGAAGTGCTCTGATGTGAATAACAATCTATACCTGCCTGGTAGGTTACGCTTATTTCAATTCCTAATTTTTCCAGAGCTCCACAACTAATTTGCTCTTTTCAAGTGACAACTAGCTGAGTCTTATTGGTTCTTAGGCAGCAGCTGGAGGTTACTAGTCAGACAAGCCTGCAATTAGCTGTAATCGGAATGCCCTTTGATAAATTATTAAATGGACTGAGATTTTGCAAAGTTTTATGAAGAATATGAGAACAAGGACAGACCAACATGGCCAGAATGTATTTATTTATAGCATAGATATGCTAGTTACTGCAAAAGGAATAAACCTGCACAGAAAAAAAGACTGCAAGAGAATGTACAATCTGTTAAAAACAGAATTGAGTAATAAAATAAGGACAAAATTATTTGAATGTGTTAACACATACAATGAACCAGTTTACCTGTAATATGTCTCTAAAGTAAGGGCCTACAATACAAATCAAACATGGTAATGAAATGTAACAAATCTTTCTAAATTATTTCTAAATAAATGATCTTTGTAAGTTTTTAATTGCAACTATAAAACTGAAACAGTTTAGGGCAAAATGTACCCATGGCTCATTAAAAAGAAAATAATTACTTTATTTCCAGATTTTTAAGAGTATCCGGTATGGTTTTAAAAAAAAATCATTATCCAAAATAAAAGTTTGGATCGAGGAAGTTTAAATTCAGCACATATGCTCCAGATCGGCTGGTTTAATATCCTAGGTCAACCTTTGGTCTCCATAAGATGTTATGTCCAAAGAAGTCTATAGAGAGAGTGTTTGGAGCCAGGGAAAAAGGATACAAAGGCCAATAAGACAGAGATGTGATTAAGATGGGAACTGAGATTAGTGCTGCATATATGGTATGACTTTAAAAAAAAAAACATGACCAGTGATGATGAATAACGATTGTGTGATGAGATCCAAATCTTATAGCCCACGAAAGGTAATAGAAGCCAGGCTGTCACACGTAAATGACCACTGTGCAATTACAAGCATTGCACGCTTAACTGTGGCTAATAGACACTGTACAGTAAATTAAAGAGACCTATCTTCACACTGTCAGCCAAGTAAGGACTGTGCAATCATTTGCATTGTGATTTTGTACAAAAGAAAATCACACTTATGTTCCCAGTGTTAAAAAAAAGTGTTATGCTGACTCTCCCACATGGATTGGTTGCAGTTACAGAATCACTCTTTACAAGGCACAAGGGTACTGTGCAACGATTATCAAGATAAAGCAACTGTATTCATATCACTATTGTTCCAAAGTTTACAATCGTTTTGGGCACTTTATGAGTTGCATGGGAATTGTGCAAAATATTGTTATATACAGGTGAAACTCGAATAATTAGAATATCGTGCAAAGTTCATTTATTTCACTAATGCAACTTAAAAGGTGAAACTAATATATGAGATAGACTCATTACATGCAAAGCAAGATAATTCAAGCCGTGATTTGTCATAATTGTGATGATTATGGCTTACAGCTCATGAAAACCCCAAGAACCCCAAATCCACAACCTCAAAAAAGTAGATTATTACATGCAATCAATAAAACAAGGATTGTACATAGAACAATATCGGACCTCTGAAAAGTACAAGCATGCATATGTACTCAGTACTTGGTTTGGGCCCCTTTTGCAGCACTTACTGCAATTACTTTTGCACGATATTCTAATTATTCGAGTTTCACCTGTATATATATAGTTATATATTACATTTATATTTTAATAATGGACTACAGTAGTACAGTAGCACCGTCTCTACTGTGGTCTCAGTGGAGTAGCATTAATTACTTTGCATTCATGTAAACAGCGGCAGCTCTCAGCCTCACACATACACAGGCAGAGACCATATGCGGTTTCTGTTAACATGCTATTCTATGAATAGCAAAAACCAACGCCTTATGGTATATGTGGCGTTTGTATGCCAGGAGGCATTACTTAACACCATTCATAGAACAATATGCAAACAGACACAGTGCCAGATCTGTCTGTGCATGTGTGACATCTGGTACCACATCATTGAGGGGCAGAGACAGCCAGCTCCCCGTCACATAAACAAGGAAGATGATGGACCTGTAGCAGACCAGAAGGGACAGAGAAGGTGCCAACATTGGATCCACTGGGCTCATAAGTACAAAAAGAGTAGCAAAGGTAAGTGACAAGTAATAGTGACATTTTCATTGGGAAAAGCCAGAACCAGGATGACAACCTAGTTCAAAAACAAGTCTCCCAACTTTGGCCCTTATAAGCTCCCTTGTGGGCATATAAATATCACTTATCTCCGTAGATTCATTCAGCAATACATTACCATGTATTTCAATGAATCTGCATTTATTATTGCTTTGCCTAAAGTCTATGGTATTAAGCTTAATGCACACTAGTGCCCATCAAACCATTTGCTTTGTACTTCCACACACACTGCAGGTACATTGACTTTCATTTGACAAACATCTGAAAAAAGACTCCAGCACATCCATAAATGGACCTTATAGGATATTTTGAAAATTCAGGGGAGATAAGCCAAGGTGTTTAGGACCCAAATGCACTTGCATTGGGGTACTAAGGGCAATGAAAATACATCAATTCCCCCAAACTCAAATCTGTACATTTTGTGTCTCCTTTAATATTAAGAGCAGCAGGTATTTCATCCCTGGCTCCTATGTAAAAAAAAAATTTGCTTGCCAAGGTTTTGGACACACACAGTACATGCAGCAGAAAAAAAACTCCTCAAAATAATAGGTGTTAATATTAATGCTTATATACAAAAACATGAGGCCTACACATGTGGACTGATTTACCATTGAAGCAGAATTTCCAGTGGTCACCAAGTGCACATCTTCTTCATTAAACATTATGAAGGTGGTTTTATTATGTTGAAACACCAAGTTATCATTCAGTGTCAATTCGACAGCATAATCTATCCTAGATTAGACTAAAGGAACAAGACAAGCACATTGCATAATACTAGTGGCTTCACAAGGCTTGGATAAAAAGGTTTTGGATGAAAGGACAGGAAACATGTTCACAAGGTAAACAGCATGATAAAACTACTTGGATGATTCAAATGAAAAGAATCAGAGAAAGAAAACAAAATGAAGTCTGCAAGTAGATTGAGATGAGGCCAAATTGAAAGACTTTTACAGACATCTGTCCATTTTCATGCTATGGAATCATAGGGATAGCAATGTAAGGAGATGGTTATATACCATGTCAGATTCATTTGCCAGATCCACAAAATAAAAAATAAATAAAACACAAAGAACAAAAAACAAATGACAAGAAAGTACTAAAGACTAGATTCAAAAAGTAAATACTCATTACAATACTCATCAGCCTGTATTAAGCCTAGTATACTACTTTAAGTGCATATTAGGCATACATTTAATAAAAGTCTATGAGAACCTGTGAGCTACCTACCTTCTCTAGTTCATGACATAGACTATAAATATTTGGCCTCTTTCAGTCGGTGGCATTAAGGCCTCATTCACACTGCTAAGAGCCGGCCCGTATAGATCTGTGCGGCTTGCACGGCCGTATCGGGGCCCTCCCGGGAAGGACAGGTGCTGCGTGAGATTGTACGCAGCAACCTGTTCTTCTCTATGGGAGTACGCCGCCATACGCTCACCCAAGCTGCACATCCATGTGGGTGTCCGTACTCGGACGCAGACAGGATGGATCCTGTCTGCGTCCAAGCACGGACACCCGCACCCATGTGCAGTTCATAGAGAAGAACAGGCTGCTGAGTACAATCACACGCAGCACCAGTCCTTACCGGGAGCTGCCCGATACGGCTGTGCACACCGCATGGATCTGTATCGGCCGGCTCTTAGCAGTGTGAATGAGGCCTAAGAAGAAAAGTTACAGCATCTATGATCACTCCAGGACTACCTGACCAGTTAGAAAACTTACTAGTGATGGGCATCTGTCAGTAAGAAAATACTTTTGTTATTTGTTACCTTGACATCATCACACTGTGTTTGAAGATATCATCAAGTATATGCGGTAATGTCCAGGTCTATCTGCTCCCCTAATTCAAAGCACAGGGAACCTAAGCTACACCTTTGCTTCCTACTAGACATTCACAAACCCAGTCTATACTATTTGTAAATATGGTTACAGAAAGGTGAAAGGTGTTCACATGTTCAAGAAGAGACATGGAGTATTATCTAGGTCCTTGGTTCTCAACTGGTGGGTCATGACCCAAAAGTGGGTTGCGACCCAATGTTTAGTGGGTTGCTATATGTCTTCCACTTTTCTAGGCGAGAGGCTCCTCAGCCTCCCCCTAGCGCAGCACTCTCAGTACTTGGCACCAGTATTATGCTGCCTGGTGCCAAGTGTTAGCTTGAGGAGGGTGGGCTGGGGCTATGGCCGCCAGAGAGCTCCAGCCATACATGCATTGCTTAACCAGTTGACATCCGCTGTGTTAAACCCCCTTCCCATCCAGGCCATTTTTCAGTATTCAGCACTGCGGTACTTTGACTGACATTTATTCCGTCATGCAACGCTGTACTGAAATGAATTTTATACCATTTCTTAGGGACAGAGAGAGCTTTCTTTTGGTGGTATTTATTCACCACTACAGGTTTTATGTTTTACTATATTAAGGAAAAATTACCAAAATAAAAAAAACAAACAGTTTCCCCTATATTAAATGATAAAACATTTATTATTACCCAATTTTTTGGTAAAATATAAAAGACGGGGTCACGTCGGGTAAAAAGACACTAAACATGTCAACGCCTTAAAATTGTGTAC